GGGAGTTGCATAAATGACCTCCCTATAATTACATTCTACAACGAAACGTGATCCTAAATCACGGTACAGATTATCTAAAACACTGGGGGTTGATGTAACAAACACCCAGGATTATGGTGTGAATACTGTAGCCAAAACGAGTGAAAAGCACAATACGTACTAGTAGTACAGTAGTACATCTGCTGAAGTTTGATGGTCGAAATCGATCAGTTGTAAAAAGGCCCCGAAGTGTCATTTTTTCGAGTGTTTTGTCTTTATTTTGTGGATTTTTCTGTTTTCCACATGTTACCGGTAACGTGACCGACCAGTGATGGGCCGAATGTTCAGTGATGTGCCGATTTATTTCATCCAATTAAATCGTTCGAGCTGTATTATTGGACAAAACAGAACCTCTCATGCAATATCTTGTAAAAGTTTATGGTGGAAAAAACTATTGTATTTAAAAGGTTTTCGAGTTTGATTTGACAACAAAATGCCGCCTCGAACGCAGTACACCAATGACACCATGAGAGCAGCCGTTCAGGCATTCCAGTCCCAAGCCCATTCAGTACCTTCTGCTGCGAGTGCATACGACATTCCGCAACGGACACTTCGGAAACACGTGGTTAGTGCTAACGCCTGCATCACAACCAATGCGGTGGAGACTATGGGACCGGCGCCTTTACTGCCACGGCAGTTCGAAGAGGATTTGGCCACATGGATCCTCGCAATGGAACAAGACGGCCATCCGACCGGCTCTCGCGAAATTATCCAGCATGCAACCCAGATGCTCGAGCTCGTACATGATACACCTCAGCATTCGAAGTTGTCGACCGGCTGGTACAAGAGATTCCTTGATCGTCATCCTCACCTCAAGGTCACGAAGGCCCAAGTCCTCAGCAAGCCTCGCAATGCGGTTGACAGCGCTACAGTCATTCACTTCTGTCATGACCTCGCTCACTCAGCGTCGCTTGTCAACATGGACCCATCCCGAATTTTCAACATGGACGAGACCAGCTTTTCTCCTTCGAAGACGTCAAAGAAGGTTGTTGTCCACGTGTCAACGAGATCTGTATATGCCGAGGAAACACCTGCCTCCGCACATGTAACAATTGTTGCATGTGTTGCCGCAGATGGAACGAAGATGCCACCGCTGTTTGTTCTCCCTGGTGACAGAGTGACTACCGAAGCTTGTGCCAGTCTCACAATCCCTGGCGCTGCTCTAACAACATCTGAAAAAGGGTGGACAAACTCCTACATCTGGCGCAAGTGGCTTGCCATGCCCAGCGCACATGTTCCACCGTCCACAGAGCGTCCGATTTTGCTGATCATGGATGGCTGCTCGTCGCACTACTACGAAAACATCTACGCGGAAGCCAAAGCCTTGAACATTTTGCTGCAATTTCTACCGGCGAATGCGACACACCTGTTCCAACCACTCGACGTGACAGTGTTTCGGCCTTTTAAGCAAGCAATTCGAAATGCTGTCGCCGATTCCATCTGGACCGATGCGTCAACGAACATCAACAAGCAAAGCGCCATCGCTATTGCCTGCGACGTTTGGGCCAATTCGATCAATGACGCGGTCATCATCAATGGGTTTGTGTGCACGGGATTGTGTCCGATATCGTTGGACAAGATGATGTATCGTTTGTCTCTTTTCAAGCCATCTGCTACCCATGAAGTCGATGTGAACGAGTCTTGGCTGCAAAGGCGTGAGCTAGTCCGTGGGAAAGTTCTGCTCTTGCCTGCACTGAAGAAGCGCAAGACTCCCGCGAGAAAGACATTGACAGTAAGTGGCAAGTTCATTACGGCTGACTACCACGAATTGCTTCAAGCTCAAGTTGCCGCGAAGCCTAAGCGCAAGAAAAAGAACTCGCAAGAGCATGTGGTCTTGCCGATCGCAATCAATGATGACTAATGAGTAGTAAAGTGTGTTGTTTAGGTGGTAAATGATATTTTGATTTACGATTTTTGCTTGTGTCATTGACGTTGGTGCTATTTATTATTAATGTGAACACAAGACGAGAGTACAATATTTATTATTACTTGGGGGATATCACAAGTTTCCAAAAGCACCGTGCCCACCTCGAAGAATAATCTTCACTGGCTAACCATTGCCCTGCCCCCTAACCGACTTCCGTTGTAGAGAAGGATTACAGCCTGGGGTACTAAGCGGACGCAGGCGCACTTGGTGGTGACGAACATTACGCTGCAGCAATGGGCACTAGGGAAGGAAAATTGTAAAATGAGAAACTAAATTTGCTTGCCTCTCTATGAAATGGTGGTGCGCCCATACTATGCAGCGAAAATACATGGCCTGGAACTTGCTTTTATTTTGGTGTGAGTTTGACCCAGCTGCTGAAGATTGCCACGTGGTACAGTTGACTGTGAGTGTGCTAAGCCAAACCGACCAATGTGGTGGTGGTTAATTGAGTTTGGATTATCGTTATTAAGACATATAAGACAGACACGACACAAAACCGACAAAATTCGGCCCCGTGATTGGATGACCGACAAATAATTGAATTCGGATTGGTCAGTATTTTTTGCGACAATCCGATTGGATGAGGGGGTTGTCGCTGCAGCAACATATCACTAACATTTAACATGTACGGCTTTCTATTGGTTGAAATACTGCCGAGCCGACATTGCACACGAAACGGTGTCGATCAGCACAAGTAAAACGACACGAACCAGCAGGAGTACTGTACTGTTGTGGTCGGTGGTAGTCAGCCGGCGCCCCACCATGATGCATGGGGACCAATGGTGGGATCCCTTTTATAGCCCATTCCACACAATAACGTTTGCGACTTTAAAAACGTACGAATGCGGCTAAGAGTAATGGTTGCGCTTAGGTAGGTCCTGATTGAACATTAACGTTACTGTAGCTACGCCAACACCACATTACCTCCAGTAGTGATTCCAATTGCCCCTCATTCTACAAACGACACTAACCACTTTCTCCAGCTCTGCATATCCACGTACTTTCGCAACGTGAACCACCGTACTTGTTAGCACACAGTGTTTATAAGCATCCCCACTGCTAGCCTCTGCACAGTGGGGATGCTTATAACACTAACTGCGACCTCCCTTCAATGTGTGCCCCCTTCCACCACAACACTAAATAATCATATTTTCAATACTACAAAGAAAGAGGGAATGGTACGCCAAACGAAATTTTGATAACAGCTGCCCCCCTTTTAGCCAATAGATACAGAGTACTCGAATTCGAGCAGATAATTGGACAATAATAATATTATCCCGCCGGCGCGAATTTTTC